GCCCTATCTGCCGTCCCCGACCCCTACCCCAAACTTCACCCCTCCCCTCGTCCTGGTGCCCCTCTGCCCTGTTTCAGTCCCCTCCGCTTTCCGCAGCCTCGGCCCCCCCGCCCCATCCCCTCCCCATTCCATCTCCTGGCTTCTGCGCAGCCCCAGCGGAGAGCTCCTGGTGCCAGTCCTTCCCATCCCTCCAACATTTTTGCTCCTGAAGGCTCACCCTGCCATTCCCTCCTGGTCCCTGTCCCCATCCTCCCACCCATTCTGCTCCTAGTCTCTCCCTTGGGCGCTCTGTCCACCTTGCCCCACTCCCCAGGTCCTTGGCACTTTCTTCCTACCCTCCCCCCACTCCCTCCCTGTGNCTGCCATTCCCTCCTGGTCCCTGTCCCCATCCTCCCACCCATTCTGCTCCTAGTCTCTCCCTTGGGCGCTCTGTCCACCTTGCCCCACTCCCCAGGTCCTTGGCACTTTCTTCCTACCCCCCCCCACTCCCTCCCTGTGCCCCTGCAGCATTCTTAGGTTCTCTCTTCCCACCTCCCTACCTGCAGCTACTCCCCAAGGACTCAGAGACCCAGCGACTGCGCTCTGCATACTGCAGTTAGCAGCAGCTGTGTACCTACCCACCTTTCCAACCCCCTCGTAGAGCCCAGCCTCACCTCAGAGCCTAGCCGAGCCTCGGGCCTAGCCTAGCTTAGCCTAGCCAGGACAACCTGGGCATATCTCAGAGAGTCCTGCGAGGCCCAGCAGCCTAGGCCTCTCGTGGAAAGCCCAGCGGGGCCACGAGCCTGGGCCTCTCTTGGAGAGCCTAGCCTACCCTCAGAGCCTAATACATGAGAATGATACGAAATTCACACTTTAATGTCCACAAATAAAGTTTTATCATAATATAGCCACACCTATTTGTTTACATATTGTCTATGACTGCTTTCAGACTGTAAGGAGACATCTGGAGTTTCAACAGAGACCATAAACCGTTCACTCTCTGGCTGTTATGGAAAAAGCTTGCGGACCTCTGATCTAGGGTCTTGAATTGTCTTTATAATCTTAGCATAGCTGTTTCAGAACTTTGGAGAGTTCTGTTTCCCTTAAGACAACCATTTCCATGCTAATTAGAAAGGTGGGAAAATCCACAAGAGTAGGCTTCAGAAACAGCATAGGAGCCCCTGACTTAGCAACTTAGTGTAACATAGGCTTCCCCATGGCCCAGGTCAGTTTTGTTGAATGGACTCTGGACTCTTTCAAAGCAGTCTGATACTTTTGAATGTTGCATAGCCCTAGATATAATATCTTTGATAAAAGGGTCTTTGCTCCTGATTATAGGAACACTATGTAAATATGTTTTATAATTCTGTGTAAAGTTGGTGTGCACTCAAATGAAACCAGCCCATGGCAGCTGCTGCTCTCTGTGCAGGCCCATGATGGATCTCAGAAGGAATGAGGGGGTTGGAACTAGTGTCTGTTCCCTGCAGGCCAGTCTGGTGCCCGGCCCCGTTAGACTCATTGTAAGTTGCCACTGCCAACTTGAGACCAAAGCGTGTGACTTGTCAATGTGCAGAGTCACATCATTAAAGACTGTTGCCAGCCTCAGAGCCTAGCCTTGCCTCAGAGCATCAGAGCCAAGCTTGGGAGCCTTGGAGAGCCAAGTCTGTTGTCGGAGAGCTGAGCATGGCCAGAGCCCTGCGAGGCCAGCCTGGGCCACTTTCTCTTGGAATCTAGCTTCAGAAGCCTAGCCTCAGAACCTAGCCTAACCTCGGAGCCTAGCCCTGCCTCTCAGTAGACTGTAGGGGGCTAGGCTAGGCTCCATGATAGCAAGGATTTTGTTAGTTTTATTTATCACATAGCTCATAGTTTGGCACACAGTAGGTGCTCACTAAATATTTGACTACCTGCCCTCTTAGTTATCAAATTTCCAGTTCATTCATTCATGCATGCATTAAATATTTAGTGAGTCCCTACCGTGTCTCTATATTAGGTAATAAAGTAGTGAAGAAAACAGACAAAAATTCCTGCTGTCTTTGAGCTAGGGGATTCCGGGTGGAGTGGTTCTGTATTTCAACCTGTTCTAACATGATCCAGCAGATCCAAACGTACCTAAGATAAGAATCCTCAGAGAGCTTTAGAAAAAGTATGAGGCAGGGTCTAAGATGGGCCCTTGAACCAACATTTTTACAAGGGAGCACTTAATAGCTGGTCCGGTGTTTCTAACATTGAGCTCTACATTGGCGGTGGTGGGATTGATCACAAGTTTTGTGACAATTTTTAAGCTTTGTGTTTTAATATTTTTAATATTTTGTATCAGTTATGATTGCCACGTTTTTCCTTTGCAGTGACATTTCCTAGCTGAAAGACTTGAGTTTCTTAAATCAGTGTTTCTCATACTGGGATTCCATGAGTGTATTCCCAGGGGTCTCTGCATTGTGCAAGTTTAAGGCACACAGATCTAGCGATTTCTACAGTGAGGATGACTCAAGTCGGCTCCATAATGCACTGCCCTCCCAATCTGAGAGGGGACTAGGGTTCTGATCCAGCCCCGTGTCCCAAGGTGGTGGGCTGGCACCTCAAGGTTCCCTTGGTTTTCCGCGCAAGGGATGAAGACTGAAGCCCTTGGCCTCTGCATCTCTGGCATTTCCTTAGACCACTCGCTATCCGTATGGTTTCATGAAGGTTCCCACCTACACACCAGACTGCTCCCTTGGAAGGGGGATTTTGCTGGGCCCGGTTGTGTGGCCTGGTGATAGTGATAATGGAAAGTACAGGAGCTCAAGAACCAGATAAGCCGAAGTTCAAATCCTACCCTGCCGCCCCCTCTCCCCAAAGGGACGTGGCCCTGGGAAAATGACTGATACTTCTTTGCGCCTGTCTCCTCATCTGAAAAACGGAGCTAGTCACAGGTCTCACAGTGGTCGTTACAGTTTAGGGAGGTTTCGCTTGCACAGCCAAGGAACTGAACTCCCACCGGTTAACGTCCAGGAGCGCTTGCAAATTCCACAGCCCTCACCTGCGCGCATCGGGCCCCAGGGTACGGATGCGTTCCTTCCAGGCCAAACTTCTATCACGGTCTCCATCTAGTTGCCCCAGACACTGAGAAGGGTGGGTGCTCACCTGCGGTGGGCTCTAGAGACCCCAAGGGAGAAGGGCGCGGAAGCTCGACGCTTCTGCCCTCCAGCTGTGCTCCCGCTGGCAGGTTCCAAGCCCAGGAGAACCTCAGCCCGCGCCACGCCCCTTCCCCGATGGCCCCGCCCCCA